TCCACTTTTGACTTTTGGAACTGTTCATCTAAGCACTTTGACTCATCAAATTCTCTCAATGTGTAAGCCTAAATATAGTCATGTGTGATCTTGTTTGATTTGTCTTAACATATAGATTATTAATATATAATTTTTATAATTTTTTAATATACAAATTACAAGATAAAATGGATTAAAGAAGTGCATTGGATGGTGTGCAAAAATGAAAGTGGACAAATATAGTAGGACGGAGGGAGTAAAATGATTTAAAAATAATTTCAGTCAAACATCGTAAACCGAAACAGGCGTTATAAAATGGGACGGGGAGAGTATTTTATAATCTAAATCGCTGATCGAAGGAGTGTTGCCGTAGAGGTGGTTGACCAACCGGCCCAATTCCACATTCATATCCCAAAACCCCCGATTAGGCAAAGTGTCTGAAAACCTAGAATTTCTCAGCTCAAATTCACAAACTTTACCTCCATTTCTGCGCTTCTATCCACAGATATATACATCTCCGGCGCATATTTGGAGGGAATCGGTTTTGAATACCAGTGAATATAGTCAGAGTTGGATAATATGGAGCAGGAGGGAGATGTTTACACAGGGAAAATAGCGGAAGCAGAGGATATGGATGCAGATGTGGAAATGTCTGTCGCCCCGATCTCAGGAGAACATAACGCTAAAGTTGTTTGGCTTACTCCCTCTTCCTGTTGATCTTTTCGTTCGCAGAATTGCCAATGTTTGGGTCTAATGTTTTTTTTTGCTGTGGCGTTGAACAGGATTTGGAGAACATGAAGAAACGGTTGAAGGAGATTGAGGAGGAATCAGGTGCCCTGCGCGAAATGCAAGCTAAAGTGGAGAAAGAAATGAGTGGCGCTCAAGGTATAGCTCATTTCAACCCAAAGTGGAAATCATAGAATATATTGACAATATGTAGGTTCAGATAGACTATTTTCTGTTTGTAACCATTTGTTAGTTTCTTGGTTTAAAATAGGAATAATGCTTCTTTGTGTGAGATGACTTGATTAATTATTGAATTTAACTTTATGAGAAGTGCGGCTGCTTGGATTGTTTGAATGTCTTGGTCTGAGATTCTGAATTTTTCTTATATTTCTAATTTCATTGTGGCTCGGAAGTTAAATATGGTCATTTTGGTTAGTAATTGAAGGGCTTATTTTTTTCCTTAATTCTAGTGAAGCTAGGGTACTTGGAGTGTGGAGTGTGTATACTTGGAGTTAAAAGTTGAAATAATAAGTAAGGCCTAAATTGCTCAAATGGAACAAGTACTAGTTTCTTACCATCAGGGAATAAAAACAATAATGCACTTGCTGAAGCAAAGTTTGTTAAAGGTCTTTGTACACCTTTTATCACTATGGAGTAGTTATAACTCTCACATTTCATTCTTAAATTCTATTCATGATTATAAACTGTGCTAGAGGTCATTTTGAGAAACATAATTACACTCTAAGCCCTTGTTAGATTGAGGGGTTTCCGAGGGGATGGAAAGGAGAGGACATTTAGTTATTTTATTAATTTGTTCATACATATAAGTGGTTGAAAGGAAAGTGACAATGAAAATCATATTAAATTACGTTATTTAAGTAGACATAGAGTGATTTTCTAGTCAAAGACTAACAATTAGAGTTAAATTAGTAAAACAGAAATTAATACTCACCTCTCCTCCAAAGCCCCCGGCCAAATAATTACATAAATAATGGTGGTTGAGTGAGTGCTTCCATGTAATTTGGAGTTATCAAGTGAAGCGCTATAGAATAGCATAGGTTATAAACCCTTGATAAGAATGCTAAGCACAATTTGTAAATTTTCATTTCCTTGTTCATTTTGCCTTACTTCACCTTATCAAGTTTGGGTTATTTGTAACATTTTTATTTTTTTCACACAAACGTACACCTTTGAAGATTCAGCTTCTGCTTCTGCAAGTCAGGCTGAAAAGGAGGAGGTGGACTCCCGGTCAATCTATGTTGGTAATGTGAGGCCTAAAACCTTCTTAAACTTATTAAGTATAATCTTTCCCCGTGAGTGATGTGTAAGCATACCATAAGTCATTATATCATTTCTTTTGCTAGCAACAAACCATGTTACAATTTCAATAAAACTACCCCGGAGTATGTCTTATTAGTCGGCGACTAGTCGTGGCCTAGGCGACGACTTGACAACAATGATCCAAACAAACCCTTAAGGTTGTGGTAGGTTTTGTTTCAATTCACACAAGCTGATACTTCCTCCGTCCCCCTGTATTTGTCCACTTTCATTTTTACACACCATCCAATGCACTTCTTTAATCCATTTTATCTTGTAATTTGTATATTAAAAAATTATAAAAATTATATTTTAATAATCTATATGTTAAGACAAATCAAACAAGATCACACATGACTATATTTAGGCTTACACATTGAGAGAATTTGATGAGTCAAAGTGTTTAGATGAACAGTTCCAAAAGTCAAATGTGGACAAATACAGGGGGACGGAGGGAGTATTAGCTAGATAAGATGCTAACATATCATGGCAATCAAAAACAAGTTGTGTAGTATGATGTTAATTTTTCTCATCCAAGCTTTTGAATTTCAGGTTGATTATGCATGCACCCCAGAGGAAGTGCAGCAGCATTTTCAGTCTTGTGGCACAGTGAACCGTGTGACTATCTTAACAGATAAGTTTGGTCAACCTAAAGGATATGCATATGTAGAATTTGTGGAAGCCGAAGCCATTCAAAATGCATTGCTGCTTAATGAGTCAGAGCTACATGGTCGCCAATTGAAGGTCTTTAAAGTTATCCTCCCCTAGGATAGCAGTTATTGTTTTTTGACTTTTTGCATGTGCTAACGGTTTGTGTCGGCAGGTGTCCGCCAAGCGAACCAATGTTCCCGGCATGAAGCAGTTCCGAGGTAGAAGTGTCAATCCTTATCTAGGGTTCCGACCCCGCAGGGCATTTGTACCTGGTGCTGCAGCCTTCCCCCCATTTGCTTTTGGGTTAGTATCCCATTTGTGATCTGCTTTGTATTCATCATGTAGGTTTTTTTTAAGTTGATTGACCTAAAAAGCAATCAACTGTGTTTTTCTCCTTCCGTGTGGCCGTGCCATGTTATAACTTATAAGTCTTTGAGCATGTCGTTCTAGTTTTGTCTCATTCTCCTATTCCTCCATTTTTTGGTACTCTGATACTCCCTCCACACAAAATTCCACCTCAACCCAACCCAAAAAAGGCTCATGTTTGGTCAAGGTTCAACTTACACATCTTGGTGTTTTCATAATGTTTATTTCAGGCTACCTAAATTGATCATACTAATTTTGTTTCTAACTGTTGAAAAAAATATGAAAACCGGTATCATTTTTTGGGACAATTTTTTTTGGGGGGGGGGGGGGTACTTCTGAAACAAG